TAAATATTTTTTGAATAAATAAATGTTCTGTCTTGATGCTCTTGCAGATGAGTCTTTTTTCTACTTTTGGACTTACTCATATTTAATTGCTGACTTGATAAAATTTTCCTTACTCTTTTCATGTGTGGCTATCTTTGCCTCCTTACTTAGGGTGTGACTGCTTGAGGCTCACTATTCGTTATATTAATATATCTTTTTCTAGCACCTGGTTCAGAGCCCTACCCAAAGGTGGGTGTTAAGCAAATGTGGACTGATTGATTAGAGGCCATTGATGATCTCAAGTGTTTACTGAAAGATGTTAATTCGATTTCTTTTTGGCCAATGGCTTGGAGAAAACAAACTCAGATGCCTTTAGGAGCCAAGCACATCAGAGAGTCAGTCAGTATTTAATTATCAGACATGTAGGAAAAAAACATATAATGCTATTTTTTCTTGAAACGTATGGCCGTCTGTTCTTTTCCCACATAACACAGAGATAAAAGTACTGGGAAATCAACTTTTACTGTAGCAAAAACAATGGGACAATACCATGAAAATGGCAGCTGACACTCAGTTTTAAGTGTTTGGGATGCAGTGGAGAGTCGTGGGGTTGGTTGTAAACTGGAAATGGAATGCAAATCCAAAAGGGATGGCCCTAATTTATATCAGCTGATTTTGGTCAGATATTAATTTAGGCCCAATATTGTGAGATTTTTATGATTTTTTTAAAATAGAAACTTGAAACCCATAATTTTATATGAAATCTCCCTTTTTTATACAAGTTAATTTTTTCAAAGTACTTTATAACCCAAACAAATTATGGCTATTGGACAAATTTAGTCCACAGACCACTGGATTGGGAGCTCTGCAAGAGATCTATTATACCTGTTGCTTTTGTAATTTTGCTTAATTAAAAAGAAAAAATAGTAATTATGATCTGATCGTTAGGATGATGAAAAAATTAGCAATAGGAATGACCAGAAACTCAAGATTAATCTAATACTGTATTTCAATTTAAAAACAATAAATCTTTTCTGATTGGGGGTAAATAGAAAAAAAATAAGTTACAATTATCTGTTGCTATGAAGAGAAAGATAGTTAGTAATCTGATATTGTCTCAGATGTGTAAAATAGTTTATAAGCATGACTAGTAGCTTTTTATATTTGGAATTAACCTAGTATTGGCCTTAAAGCTAGATAATATCTCTTTATAATCAACATAACCAGAAAATAAAATGAATATGGCTTGTAACCTTGATGTATGTTTAAAGGTCAATCTTAAAAAGAAAAATAACATTACAAATTTAAATTATCCTAGTATTAATCCATTTTGTTACTATTAAGATAGTTTTTCTTTTTTATTATTTAGAAATGGGAAAATTTTATAGTGTCAGTTAAATGTGTGTATTTTATTTATCTGTCTTGATAGTTACAGTATTTTTCTTTCTAAGCTGTGGAAGATGTTTGGAAACAACAAACATTGTTACGTATCCTTCAATTGATTGACCTTCCATTCTTGGAAAATATTTTGGAGCCTCAAGTTAAAACACAAAATCTTCAATTAATTAAAGAGGAAGATCTTGTTATCTCTAACACTTGCCTAGACAGAGAGCTTATTCCCAGCTTATGTCTACCTGAGTAAGTGACCACTTTTATTGTCAAATAATTTATAATTAAAAGTTTTTTCACATATTTGTCCTTGGTATTTTAAGATGTGAGAACATATTCACATTACAAGCTGATATCTCTGTGAAAAAATTAATCACTGTGAATTTTCATTTGATCTAACAAAGAAAGCCATTGGTTATGACCTATGAGAAGATCACTGGAAATCAGAGTGGTTTCATTCACTTGAATTCATATATATGTCAATCATCTTCTCCCTGCAACCATCCGAAGTTCTATCATTTTCATTTTGTGACCCTAAAATAATATAACCATCACAATTCCTACCACTTTATTTATCCTTGTTCTATAAGAATCCACAGTTAGAAGGGGAAACATATATGAAAGAAAAAGAATTACAGTCTAATGAGATGAGCCCTATCATAAAATCAGTCTCATTTGTAGATGAGAGATTCGGGGAACCCTATAAACTGAATGAGGCTCCCTTCCCTTTTACTCTCAACTCCAAGATATTTGTCACTCCTAAATAAACCAGATGCTAGGAAGTACAGGTATCAGATCTTGGGTACTGTTGGGACCCCAGCAGAGAGAACTGATGTAATGCTTTCTTCCATGTGGGGCAAACAAGAAAAGAACATCAGATTCCAAGGGTAAGGAACGGAAAGCTTCAGATCCTGGAGAGAGGTTAGTGATCAGAAACCTGTGGACCCACTTAGTCAACTGTGGTCCTGTTTGCACATGGCAGGTTTCCCTTATTCACAGTAGGCCACAAAAAGCCCAAAGGGCTGAGTCTTTTCTGCCCTTAACTCAGGGATAGTATAGGAACCCCAAAAAAGAAACAGGGTTTCTTCAAATATTAATACTTCTGCAGGAAACTGGCAGCAGCCAGTCTGCTTTTATAAGCTTCCAGGCAGAAAGGGCAGGTTATCTGTAAAAGAAAAGCAATCGAACTGTCATTAGTGTTTTCATCTGCAATACTACAATCTAAAAGATAATGAAATGCATATGTTAGGTAAGATACACCATTCACCTGTCAGGGGAAAAAGAAGGAAAGAAAGAAGACAGGCAGGCAAGACATTTGAGGATCACCAAGAATTCATATAGTATATCACTCAGGAACCCCATCCAAAGAGGATATTTGAGGAAAGACTTTAATCAGACTGCAAAGAAATAACCAAACCTCAAGATGCAGAAAGATGAAGAGAAGAAACATTGGTAGGTGTTTAGTCTTTATCTCTCACTGATGTTTTCCCTTCTCTCCCACTTTGTATGCATACGTGTACACATTGCACACACACACTCACTCACACGAGCTCTAGGTAGATATGGTAAGACTGTGGGAGAATGTCTAAAATAAAAGTTAAGTCAAAAAGAAGGGACATACTATTAAGGGACATTATAATAAATACTAACCTATCTCAGTAAGAGATAGGGGGTTAGGAGGGCAGCAGATGTGGAAAAGAGTATTTAAACGCCTTCCAAAGAAGTCACTGGAGGTAGGGGGAGAGACAGGACCCCAAATTTCTTATCTTATTGAGGTGGGGAGATAAGAAAGGGAAAACAATATATGGTGGGGTAAACAGTACATCTGTGTTGGGGAAATATTTGATATATTCAAATACTAACAGAACCATAGGTATCTCATAATTGGAGCAATTAAAGGGAGGGGACCCACTAATGGAATGGAATAGTACAGATGAACTCCTCTGAATGAAATCTAACAAAATTAGGAATGTATAATAAAGAGGTGGCTAAAAACTACTTTAATACCTTGAAAATAAAGATGCATAAATAAAAAATAAACTAGATTTTATTATGTTTTATCAAATAGTTTATTGGTTAAATGTAAATTTTAACCATTGTTTTATTTTCTTTTGCATCTTCCTTCCAGGATTGATAACTGGCTTAATACAGCAATTGAGTGCTTAGAATATTTCCCTGACCAGTTAATAGTTACAGTTAGTCAACAGTTATTGCAAAACAGCAATGAAGAGACAAGATTGAATATTCAGAAGAAGATACTCTTTGATGTCATAGTAAAATATTATAATCAAGAGAGAAATTGCCTATTAACTGATGAGTACTTTGATATTCATGAAGCAATTATTGAACTTTTAGGTAAGAGGATGTTTATACTTTAATTTTTTGTGTAATGAAACATTTTTGAATATACAAGTTAAAGTAGAAAATTTTATGTATCATGAGTATTA